TGTCGCGGACGATTACGTCTCTCAGAACTCGTATCTCGTACGTCTGATTGCACCGCAGATTCAATTGCAGAGCGAGAAAGACACCAAGTCTGCGGTACTTGTCACGGCCAAAGGCATGCAGCTTAAGGTTCTACAAATCATGGACAAGGACCGTGTCATGGACGAGGTCTCGGGTCTCGTTCAACGAAGGTTCATCGCAGCTATGGACAGCTTGCAAATCTTCGTCACCAACTCAAAGACCTTTAGCAGTCCGGAGGATATCCACATGTACTCCGGAAGCATGTACGGAACGCCAGCTGGCTCAGCATGGCCACCATGGGTACCTTTCGAGGTCATGTTTGAGTTCCACAGCAATCCGTTCGGCTTCCAGCGGGTGGTACAGCGAACTTCAGCCAGTATGCGCTACGACAAGCACAACGCGCTGCGCCTGAAGTACAACGACGATGTCTCGGCTGCCGACTCGGCCACATCTGCTGACAATATGGAGAGCCGCATTGACCATCTATGGGTGGACTTCCCACACGTGCGGGCCCTGTGCGATTCCAGGCAGTACTATGCGATGTACGTCATCGTATTGGATCTTTTGCTGTACCATGAGCCTTTGGAGAAGACGCGTAATGAGCGACTTGAGAAGATCATGCTTGCTTCCGACTTCACCGATCTCGCAGGAGCTCCAAAGCTAGTCATGGGTCTTCAAGAGCGTATCCAGCAATTAGAAGAGATCAAGACTGTCTTCCAGATCAACGAGAAATACCTGGACAAGCAAGGTTGGGAAGACAGAATTGAAGTTGAGAAAGACTTGGCTGTCTACGAGGACGAGCTCTTCTTCGTCATGAAGGCAATCACGACCGCACAACGCAAGCAAGATGATCGTGCTCAAGCAAGAGATTCAACTGGACTTTTGCGCATGTATGTCTCTGCATCTGACATCGTTTGGCATCTGCTTCGCGAGGGCGCAGAGTCACTAGCAGAGTTCCAACTCAAGAACGTCGCATTCGACCGCACAGACAACAACGATGGATCCAACTCGAACTCTTTGGAGATTGAGCAAGTGCGAGGTCTGAACTTGCTACCTAACGCCCTGTACCCAGAGATGATATCGCCTTTCCTAGAGCAAGATCAGACTCTGCCTGAAAACGCCAAATGTCTCAAGGTCTACTTCGTGGCACTTGAATCGATCGCAGGTATTCCTGTAGTGGAGCACTTTGAAGTTGAGCTCTATCCGCTAAAGGTGCAGTTGGAGTACCAGATTGGCAAGAAGCTGTTGCAATATGTCTTCCCTACGTACGGTGACAGCAAGACTGCGAATTCGTCGCCCTTCTTACTCAAGCATACTCTGCCGACTCAGGAGGAGGAAGACGCGGAGACTGATAGCATCATTTCTGGAGCGACAAGTATGAGCGCCTCGCTTTCAGCTGATGACGCCGCTGTGGAGGCGCTCAAACAACGACTTACGCCTACACTTCAGCTGCCCGATCCAGTACAAAAGTCTGACGCAAAGAGGAAGAGCTTGGTTAAGCGCCCAAGCGCTCACTATTTCCGTTTCTTCAAAGACAACAACCCTTCTCGTAGTGGTACAGAGCTTCGTCGCACTCTTCACCCGAGCTCCGCATTGGTGGTGCCTACATTGGGAAACAGCTCCAATACCTCCACAAGACCAAGCTCCGTCCGGTCAAGTACTACCAACTCAAGCCAGACTCTGAACGAGTCTGATCGAACTGCAAAACGCTTTGCACTCTACCGCACCGGCACCAATCTGGCGGAGAAGAAAACGAATAAGAAGGAAGCCAGAAGTGATGATCTGACTGAGATGATGAGTCGTGCGAGCGAGTACATGACAGTCGCTTACTTCAAGATTCCGTCCATGGTACTATGTCTTTCCTACAAGGGCAAGAGCACACGCAACTTTGAAGATGTCCATGACCTGGTCTTCAGGATGCCCACAATAGAGTACCGCAACAAGACATGGTCTAATCTAGACCTCGTCACGCAACTCAAGAAAGACGTCTTGAGAGCGCTCCTCTCGCACGCCGGTACAATCGTCGGCAACAAGATCTCGCACCACCGGCCTTCAGCCAAAGCACAATCACGTCTCCGACAGCTCGCCAACAGCAGCACGATGCTCAACACCTCTCCCGATCTTTCAGGCACCGATTCGAATTCCATGCGCGACCACTCACCCGGTGGCTCCGACCTCTCAGCCGAAGACCGTATGCCCCGTCGTTCTTTCGCTTCCGGCCGCCAAGGTAGTCTCATCAGCACCGTCTCGGAAGAAGGCTCGTCTCTCCAGTCGTCAAAACCACCTTCGACGTCCAACCAAGCGCGCTCGACACACGGTTCCATCATGGGTGGCCTGAATCATCACAGCAACGGACTAGGCCCCGAAGATGTGGATGACGGACGCGCCTTTGCTGATGAACTGTCAAGGGTAGACAACACGGAACCAGTCCACGCAAACCTCATTCATAGCCTGAGTAAACACATCGCCGGTGTCAGCGCACCTTTCGCCGGACATATGAGAGGCAGAGCGGGTAGCGGTGCAGCCAGCATGAGGGCTGCGAGTGTAGCCACTGGCATTAGTGGCGTCAGTGGTATGAGCGGACGGGAAGGCAGCGTCATGGAAGAAGACACCGATGGTCCGAAGACGAAGAAGGCGAAGGCTCTGGGCAAGAAGTTGCTTGGTAGGGGGAACTAGAAGCTTCCCTAACATCACTGTTTTCCTTTTTTTGTTCTGCATCATCCTCATTAGCATTATTTGGCGTTCCTTTGTTTCATTTGTAAATACTGGGTTTTAGACGGTGTGGCAGGAAGGATCCTTCTTGTCGAGGTTTTGTTTTGTATCATAGCGTTGCGAGAACTGGTGTCCTGGAGGTGTTGAAGTAGATAGTTTCCTGTACACTCTGTCGTGGAGTCCTAGTATCAAGTCATAAAGATTACTATCCTATCTTCGTGTCTTCCAGTGTCTTGCACTGTTTGCGATGGGCGTGCTCATTCTCAACAACGGTCCTTGTTCGTGAAGTCGCGAACAGTGTTATCCATGTCTTCTCCGTGCGGGGATAGGGCTGGGTGGCGTAGCTGACGCGACGTGAGGACGCGACAGGTTCGCGTTTGTGGGGCTGGTCGGTGCGCGTGGGAAACGTCATTGCGGCGCCCAACATTACCAGCTCGAAGTCGCGACTTCCGCATCTTTTCCCTACCATCCCCTCCGTAGCGGAAGGTGATGTCGACACACCCGGATACTGCGCCTTCGTCTTCATCTTGCGTTACTCACAGCTACCTCCTCTACTAGCTTTCACGTCTCTGGTTCGGTAAACATTTGCGTCTGACTTTGAAGTTGGGAAAGAGTAAGACAGCATTCATGCGTCTTTGATGAGTAACACGCATGTTCATCAGATTACCATGGAGATCTCGCTACGCTAACTGCGGGGCCCAAGGGTTCGCGGTAATGTCTCGAGAAAATGGAGTTGATAGTTTCTGGAGGCCTCGAGGACACCTGAGCGGGGATACTAACGCATATCAACGGTTGGTGTTCAGTAACGTGGGTCGAAATTGTACTTTGACTGTCACTCTAGGTTGTACAATTCGCCTGTTTTGAACAGGAGGTATTTCGCGTCCCTAAGGCCTTCGGGGTCAAGGTATCACAGAGCTGCCACCCTAGCCAGTCGACTACCCAGTACCATCAACACAGACGACCGATATCTGCGCTACCTCTGTGTGCACGGACATCAATGCTGAATTCACGCTGTGTTGCTAATCCACGCTGTTGGACAGTGCATTGATAGTGCTCCCTGTACCGATATATACAATGCCTAGCCGCGTTGCATTGCACGATCACAATTCGACCCGGTCTCCGCTTCAATCTCTCAACTCCGTCAAGAACCGAAGCGAGAATTAATTACGCTCTTCGTTAGCATACCGAGGATCAACCTCATCAACTGCTCCGATGTCGAACTCTCCGTTTTTCACAACCTTGCCAACCGAAGTCCGCGATATTATCTACGACTTCCTCTGGAGCGATACAAAGACCTTTGTCCAGCGGCATGATACCAAAGACTACAAGGTAACCTATGACCGAAGGCACGACTCAATTGAAGCACCATCTGCTGTTGACAAAATCCCATGGCTTCTTACCAACAAGCAAATGATGCGCGAAGGCATCCGGCAGCTACACCAGAAGTCAACATGGCACCTGGATAACCGACTGTCAGATACATATCCCCAAAGCTATGTCTTAGACGCCATCACGCCATCAGAGTGCCACACGCACGAGATCTTCATCCGGTGCGACTGGCCGATGATCTTCGATGACGTGAAGCGGGTCTACCGGCTCAGCGAAGTAGCACGGGCTGAGATCAATAAAAGCGCCGCGACAGCTAATTCCTCGACTCCGCTAGACACTGTTTGCGTCAAGATCCACCGCCCGAACAATGAACGACTAGCTGCCAACAGCGCGGCAGACTTTAGCTTTAACCTCTCTGGCCTCGAAATCTTATCTAGCCATACCGAGCTTTGTCGTCTCCAGGTGCACCTCGTTGGCGTTGTTGATGATACTAAAATGCTTGTGTGGTATTGGAGTTTGCGAGGGGAGACCGACAGCGCAAATAAAGCTAGGCGTCTGGAAGATCATTACTTGGATGCTTGGAAGAAAGAGCTCTCTCGTGTGGCCCAGCTGGTAGTTCCCGGGGGCAAGCGTAGTGGATATATGAGAGAGTACACAAAAGGGAACGGACGTTGTCTGGAGTGGGTTTGGGCGTTTGAGAAACAAAAGTCAAGCCATTGAGCTTGATAGATGGTGACGAGAACACGTGCAAGTTTTCGAGCAGAACATAGACAGTGAAGCTTGTTTATCCGTTTTGAGAGATCTAAATAGGCAGCGTTGTGGGCGCCTAAGCACACAATGAGCACACCACTATATGGTGCAAAATCTGTAGCAGATGAGAAAACGCTCGTTACCAAGATCTAATCGTCGCTCAATATCATGATAATCTTGGGCTGGCCACCTAATCCTCCGCAGGATGACCCTTCAGAACGTCCTTGACGACACCCCTCAAACTCCCTCCCGATTTCTCAATCTCAAGAACCAAGTCCTTCAACTCCTCCCACTCCTCATCGCCGACCTTCTCCAATTGCTTCTTAGCGAACTCCCCGATATCAGCCCACAGTTCCTTCAAGCTGGTCATAGAGTTCGCCCCCCGAAAGAAGGTGTCCACCTCTTCTGGCGCATCTTCGTCCAGAAGGACCACTGTGCTCCTAATGATTTTTCCCGTACCCCGTATACTGGTGCTGTAGTCGTAGCACCTCTTCACGAGATTACAAATCTCAGTGACCAGGTTCATGACGTCTTCCATAATTGCTTCATTCCCAAATAATGCGTCTGTCTTCATCTTCACCGGGTCATTGTTGTCTTCGATGACACTCCCTCCAAACCCAACTAGAGTAACTTTTGGTTGCTTGGCAGCAGCACTCTCGCTGTTCTGGCCTTGTTCGTGAGGAAAACTGATGACGATGCTGCTACTACCGAGGTCTCGATGTGTGATATATGGGGTGCAGTCGTGTTGTAGGAACCAAAATATATCGTACATCTGCGTGACGACAAGCCAAAGAAGAGCCTCCGGAAGCTTCGCCCGAGTATCGAACAAGGAGATTGCAGCGAGGTCGCAAGACAGCGGGACAGTGTCCATGACTAGCCAACCCGTTTCCTCCTTGTCCTCGGTCTCCATGTCATAATGGTCCACTATCTGCGCACAATGCTGACCGCCGCTACGCGAATACGCTTCGCCTTTTATCTTTTGAAGAGTGCGTATTTCTTTGTTCATGGTCGATTGCTCGTAGGGGCTATGGCAGTCTTCGATGGGAATCTTTATTATCAAAACCTTTCGTAGCAGCGCGTCCGTAACTGAGTTCTCATCGGCACCGTTACTGAGTCTAGAACACGCATCTTCGAGGACAGAGCTGGGGATACAAGTACCGATGTGATAATTGCTGGAGTAACCGACTCGGCGGAGCCAGGTATACTTATCTGGCATATGTGGCGGCTTGTCAGGGAAGGTGACTTTCATGTTTTCAGACATCTGTCGTTGATCGGAAAGGGTAGCCTCGGGTTCTGTAGACGTTCTTGACACTGAAATTGCGTTGGAAGTATTTGGTCCCTGCCGAAATAGTACTTTCCGCGAATGGTAAAGAGGTCCCGATCGTGAAGCGGACGCGATATAATAAGTCATCCCGGAAGTTTGTGACTTGAATCACGAGACCACAAACCGTTGCCATTCGTGTTGACCACCGGCAATCATCTTCAGCAAGCGTTTTCCGGATGATCACCTCTCGCTTGCTAGACATCACGAAGTATCTCGCTCCCTCAGCTTTGCCCTATACCACGGCTTAGCAATCTTAGCAATCTCAATCTTCAACGCCGCCTCATCCACACCATGCTCTTTGATATATCCCTTCTCTTCCTCCAGAATATCATATTGTATCCATTTCAGAAAGTCGCCCAAAGCCCCCACATCGCGCTCAACATCCTTCTCGCGCAGCACATCCCAGCCTTGCTCTAACCGCTGCTGTGAACACCACGCAGCTGCTACCGTTGCGGCTGCTTTTCTTCGCTCTCTCATGATATCGGCGCCTTCATGTTGTTTCGGAACGCGGAAGAAAGTAGGCTTGAACTTTCCTCCTTTGCTCTTGAACCATAGAGAAGTGTCGCCGTTGTACTGGGTAGGTACGGGCTTCCAAACGATGCCTTCGCCCAGACCGGATATCCCGAAGGATGATGCGAAAGGGCACTGAGCGGCAACATCCTCGGTCATGCGTTCGACTTCTGATACTGTGCGTTCGTAGTCGTCAGGGTAGAGTGTTGTGTGGAAGACGCCGGCTCTCGATGCGCTGTAGATGTCATGATCCGATAGAGAGATGTCAGAGTACTCTTCGTCTTTCTGCCATGTACCGTTGATGTTGACCGAGACGATGACGAAGCGACGTGATAGTTGTGCAATTGCCACGTCTTTTTGTATCTTATCGCCTATCCATTCGCCGGCTATCACGACGGGCAAGTCTTCTCCCACTGTTTTGCTAGGGTATAACTCTTTCCACCTTTTCAGATACACATCTCGCAGTCCAAGTACGGCCGCGGTCTTCTCTGACATATCTGCTGCAAATCCTTGGTTGTCTTTCGCGACGGATAAACCAACTATGTTGCGCGACTGGAACACGATGCGGTTATCAGGATATACGAGGATATCTGCGTGCGTGCCATGAAGTTTGACTGTGCCAATGAAAGGTATAGGGTCCACAATAATGTTTGCTTCTGGATGGGCAGGGTCGCGGTTCAAGCGCCGCAGCTGCTCGATGATCTCAGGAATGTGTGTCGTGATCTTAGGGTACAGCGTCGACTGTGCGGGGTCTGTAGTTGCCATGCTGGATCCGCCCGCGTTGCACTGCGATCCTCCTGATCGCGGCTAATCAATCTTAACATGGAGTTATTACTTGAAAGTTCGCACGTGAGATTAGAAAATATAATAAGGAGGTTTGTGAGTTAAGACAGGCGCTGCTGTGTCGCTTAGAAGCTTCTGCTGTGGCGTTGCGATACAGTTATCGATACGCGGCTGTCAGCACCGCGATCTTCAACACGTTGCGGCACCTTGAACCTAGCGTATCAAATGCCACGCTTGGGTGCGAATAGCTGCTATCATGTGAAATACTGACGGTACCATCAAATCTAACACAGCAAAGCTGTGTTCGAGCTGGGATTTTCTTGTGCAAATTTGAATCATTCAACATTCATGACAGCTAGTCTCTAGAGCATTCATTACGTGACATCGTTCAATCTTCTAATGCGATTGCTCAAGCAGGTCATGAGATCTCTGCCAACTTCTACGTTCTAACCCGTCATGATGCTTCCACGTTCTTCCCGTCCGGTTGGCTGTCCTTCTTCTTGTCGTCTTTGTGCAACTCCGGGTTTAACGGATGCTTGGAGTCATAACCGACTCTCTTGACAATACCCAATCCTTTCGTCCTGCCCTCACGGAAGAGTATCCGATCGCCGACAGTCAAGTACTCTGGTCGCTGTACGAAGCGGAAGGCTACCTGTGCTCGGTCACCAGTGCGGATGTACTGGCGATCGATGTCGATGATGGCGCAGGTCTGGGACACTGGTCCAACGTGTAGCATAGCCTGGTACTTGGTCTTGATAGTCGTCGCGTGCGACAAGATCAAGACTTCGGCAACGAACTCGCGGTACACTTTCGGGGCTGGTAATATCCCAGTTGTTGGATCAGGCTTCTCAGCCTTGTGCAAAACGACCATGCCTTTTCGCACATCTTTCCGCCGAACGTTGCGCAGCGCGAGACTAGCAGACTGCCCAGCAGAGCATCCTGGAACTTGTATCCGTTTGCGCTCGACGGAACGCACCTTTGTGGTTTGAAACTGGCCAAGACTGTCGGGACCGATCAAGACTGTGTCGCCAGAATGTATTTCACCAGACTTGACAACACCTGAAACCACAGTACCGACGAAAGGTACCGAGAATGTGTCGTTGACGTGGAATTCCAGAGGAGCAGAGGCGTCGTAATTGCCGTGATGGGGTAGTGCGTTGAGGAACATGCGCACCAGGTCCAGGTTATGACCAGTGACATTGGAAACTTGGAAGATAGGACATATGCGACTCGACACAAATTGGGTAGCGGTAGTGATGCACTCCTCCCTATTGTTGATGAATACCGGTATCTTTCGCGCTCCTGGAGATTTGAGGATCTTGGACAGCTGAGTTATAGTCTGTTCAAGGATCTGTGGCGGACAAATGTCGATTTTGGTGATAACGACCATGACGGGAACGTTGAGCGCAAGTGCGATTCCGAGATGCTCTTTACTCATACCCACTAAACCGTTGTTTGCCGCGATCATCAACAGACAGTAGTTGGGCTCGCTTGACAGCAGCCCAAAGACGGTAGTCCGCAGGTATCTCTCGTGACCAGCGAGATCAGTGAAGCTGATCACCTTGGCGGATCGCCGTCCAATCTCTTCCCAAGTAAGTTTTCGACCTGCGACGTTCGACACAACGACTTCGCTCTTGCTGTCAAAGCCCATTATCTCCATGCCGACTGAGCTGGTTCGACCACTCTCGATTTCGTGTTTGTGGCGGAAGAGGTTGACGCGCGCTTTTCCGCGGCCATCGTCGAGGCCGCCTTTGACGAGGACACCGAGCATGGTACTTTTGCCAGCGTCGACTGTCAATTGTCAGTGTATATTCTCAATTGCGCCTGGAGGCACTCACCATTTCCTACAACTGCTATCCTCGTCTCGATGACATCGTCGACACTCTGCGGCTGTTGTCGCAAGATCATCTTGCCACTCAAGCCAAGCTCCTTCGCATTGCGAGGTCCGACTTCGACGTCACCGCCAACATTCCGCGTCATGAGCATCTTGTAGTCGGCTTTTATCTTCTCGCAGGCAACTTGTATCCTCTCCAAGGCAAACTTCCACTGGTCCTCAGTGAAGCCCATGGAGTCACCGCTGTCTTCCAGGCCAACATCGAACAGGGCCTCCCCATGGCCCTCGGCCAGGCGCCCCTGGATATGCTCAGCGAGCGCTGCGACGTTCTCTTCGGCGGGGTCGGTAAGGAGCGTCTTGAGGCGGATGTGCGCCTTGTTGTCATCGGAGAGGCCGAGCTCGTCGAGGATGCTCAGCTCATCGTGGTCTTCGAGGACGGCGGGGGCTTGGCCTGGCGGTCGGCGCAGCGCCTGTTGTTTCTGGACGTAGTCGGCGAATTCGCTGAGCGCCTGGTATGTACATTAGCTTGAGTACGTCGTCTGGAGCCTCAATGGGTAATCCGTCTAAAGTACGATGCGATCGCCTTCGTGCTACAAGAAGCCCCATTTCCCTGGTTGTACTACTCGGCGCGAACCGTGAGCCACCGGAATTGGTTTTTCCTGTACCATACTCGTTGTGTCAAAGCAACAGATATGTCTGGGGTACATCTGGGGCACAGCTTGGGGAGACATGGGCTTCCCTTGGTTTATTACTTACAGACTCGCCCTTCCGCCGCTCAGCTGGGCTCTGCTTAGGCTCGTGTCGGGAGGCCATATTATGCAAAAGAGCACGTGATTATGAAATATCCACCAGTAGACCTAAACTGAAGGTATTCGTAGCGACTGATGTACGTGGTGTGATGGAGGTATGAATGTGGGGTTGGGGCTGTCAGGACGTGTTTCGTAAACTCCGCCGTATTAATAAGACGTTTGGTATTCGCGGGAGGTGGAAGGAGTGTGAATATTCCATGAGTTGTCTTGCAGTGAGCATCGAAGGGTGGCAAGTGCTGGAATGGCGCTGGCAATGGCGATGGGGAGCTGCTAGGGAGATCCGGGGGCCTACTTATCGATAGAAGCCCGCCGGAGCCATGACGCTGAGACTCACGCGGTAGCGCGTCTTGACTCATCCCAGAACCACCGCCATTACACCACTCACAGCCTCCGTGGTCCACAATGACTGCGGCGTCATCCGTAGTGTTGTCGCTACAGTCATACGATACGTGTTTACGCCCTCGTATCGCTGAGTTTACGCGAGTCATCATCAAAAAGGGCGGAACACGAAAATGTCGCGACTAGGCAGCACTCCAACAAAGGCACACATGATAAAGAAGGCATAAAGTAAATGCATCATGGTTTGGCTATGAATTACAAGAGAACGGGTAGTGCCGTCGACGAGGGAAGTGTGCCCTCTCATGATGCCGCAACACCTCGTTCCCCGCAGTACTTCTCCACCTCTTTCCTCAGCGACTCGCGCTGGTGGTTGACTGTGTCCATGATATCGCTGACACCATTGATGGTCTTGCAGTACTCAAAGGTCTCCGCCATTTGCATGAGTACTGCTGTCAGCTGGTTGGGTAGCCACTATTGCGCGTCAGTAAGAGTAAGGACAGTCGAGTCGAGGAAGCACCTACAGTCACGATCGGGCTGCCACCTGTCGCAGTCGGGTGCGAAGTGTGCTTGAGGATGTATTCGCGGGTGAAGCACCAATGCCGCCAGCGGAAGTCGCGAACCTGGTCAAGAGCTTGGAGATAGAGCGCGGCAGAGACAGAATCGCCTTTCGCAAACTCGCGTACGCCCGACTGCTGAGCGCAGTCACGAACAGCCTCCAGGAACTCGCGGTGGTTGCCAGGGCGGTACTGGCGGAAGTCCTTCAAAATGTCTGTAAGGGGTGTCTCCGGCATCTGGACCTGAAGCAGGTTGTCGCACATGGGAATCATGCTGTCGTTGGCACCAGACTCGCCGCGGAAAGACATTGGCTCTTCGCTCACGCCCTCGTATATGACACCGTTGGGAAACATGGATTGTGAGGTGATGCCGAAGATGAACGTACGGAAGTTGGTGTAGCCTTGTGGCTTGCTACGGTTCCACATGGCTAATCTCGTCAGTCGCGAATTCACGCACCCAAGCAATGCACTTACTGTTCATCACGGCGTTGACGTTCCTGAGACCACCCACCAGAGTACGAAGGCCGTCGTTGAATCGCTCTCGGTCCTTGGCCAAACAGCTTTCAAGCATCTCAGAGGCACCTGTGACAAGCGCACCAGACTCCTTGACCATAGCTATGTGGACAAGAACGAAGCCCGCCTCGGATGAGGTGGGATCCAAACCGTGCTCGAAAGCGCGGATCAGGCGAAGGTTGTCGTACTCAAGCCCCCGTGATGGATCTTCCAGACGGTAGTTGAAGAGCGCATACGATCCAGCATACTCCATGAAGGGCTTGAAACCAGCACTGCGCACGCGATAATGTCAGCCATGTCATATACTCTAGTGTAAATCGTGATCCTTGTAGAGGTGGGTGTCCAATAGATTCCTTGAAGGAGGTGAAGCTAAAGAGACGAGGACATAAGACCAGCACCACATGAGGATAGGAGAAAGCATTGCTACTTACATCTCAGCAACCTTGACGATAGGTAATGCGATACATCTCGGCAGCGACTGTCGACCCAGACCATACTCCTCTCCCCTTACATGCCTCTCATGGCAAGGCTCAAAGAGATATGCTGAAGCCAAGAAAGAGTAGTCACGATACAGGGCGTTCATGACAACCAGGTCATCGCGATACTTCTCTACCTCTGGGGTAAGGTCAGGAAGCTCCTTGAGTACGGTGTCGCCGAAGGTGAAGTTGGCAAGTAGACCTGGCTCCCCTGACAGTGTCTTGATGGGCATGCGTTGCAGGATAGACTCAAGAGCAGCGAACTCCTTTGGTAGTTCAACGATGGGTTCTTGACGAGGAAGGAAGCCTCGTGTGGTGGATACCATGAAGGCGGGGAGGGAGCGGTCATCAGGACGGGTGTCCTTCATGACAGGGAAGTCAAAGGTTGAAGAAGACATGGTGCAAAGAGGTATTGAAGAGTGAGAGAAGTCAAAGATGCTGAAGGTATTCAGGCTTTGATGCTGGATATCTTGTCCGAGCGCCGAATGTTGGAGTTGAGATGAAATTCAACTTCTGTCAACAGCGACGGCGACAGCGAGCTTATATCCTTCGAGGCCGGAATCAAAACCGGCCACGGAAAACCACCGGCCTCGTCAAGATAAGACGTACGTAATGGCTGGATCACTTGTCTCCATCAGCAGACTTTGACCCGAAGGCATCCTGCGATGCCCGGCCTCGATCCAGGAGTTCCCCCTGATGTCCTCGATGACTTGGGAGGGTAGGCTCGTCGCCGCCAAGACTTGGGTCAAGCAGAGGAACAGGGCAAAGGCGGCGCAACGGAGGCTACTCTCCTATTGCTTGAGATGTCACTGGAATCTTAGAATGAAAATTCCATTATGCTGTCAATATCCTTTCCGCAACAAATGCGGTACGCAGCTGGTGATTCAGTCTCTATTCATGAAGCATGCAACTTATTACTATCAACTAGAAGTTAGGATCACAGTACATTCAAACCTTCTGCGGCAGTCAACACTCTTAAAAATATACAATGCAGTTTCTCAGCTATCTAAGGCAACTACAACCACTTTCTTCTTGCCCGTTCTCAAAGGCAGCCATCACGATGCCGACTACGGCGGTGACAACGCCTTCTGAGTCGGCCCGAATTGCATTATCGCACACCAGAATGGCCAAAACGTGTACAGTCGCGATGACAACGATTCGCATCAAACACAGCAAATCACGGCCCAGGGTTTATTTGATGACACACACGACATGCATCTGCGATGGTGTTTGATGACTATCACGAGTGCTAACAGCGGCTCGGTTGGGAGCCAACCAGAAAAACTACCGATCAAAAGGGCCGCGGAGAGCCGCAGAATCGGCCCAACATGCGCCTCTGGTGGGTCCGATTCAACTGCTGTGATTGGTCTGGCCGGAATTGTACCTCTCCTCCAACATCAGATGCATCAACAATTCGATACCTTTATACACATAAAACAGCTTGGAACTAGATTAATTTAATTAAAACATACTCTTGAATGTCCTCTGGATGCATTCCAAATTTTGATCCAAGAGTTCAGCACCTTCTGCAGCCAGCAAACGACATTGCTACACCAGATGTTGTTAATTCCGGCCTCGTATTCCTGCTCGCTGAGATACCTCACTAGTTCGTTACTACCGTTCAGATTGGGAGCAGGGGTCAGAAGCGCACTGATAACGATTTCTCCAGGGCACGCCCTACCACGCCCTACACTGAAGTGGACCCCGCGGTACTGTGCAACGATCTCTGGCTCAACGCCATGGTTCTGACGCTGCGAAGTCGTCCGTTCTTCCTCATCGCGCCCAAAGATTCGATGACCACGAAGCAGAAATGTTTTGCAGCGAGACGAAGATGTTGGATACAATTATCGTATTAGAAAGTGGTTACTAGCTACAAGCTCTAGCACTTGCTGATTACCAAATTTCGAGATCACTACAACTATGCCTGCTAAGGAAAACACCTCAAAGAAATCTAGGTGGTATGTCTGTCATCTATGCGTGCGCATTCGTATGCGGACTCTTGCCTCAATGAGTAACCGTCATATCCTACTCTCCACCACTCCCTCATTCTCACTCTAGACAAGCGCAGCAGCAATTCCCATAGCTCCAGCAACAGCCATACCCGCACCAGGCAGCATCGCCATCGCAGCACCAGTGTAGGTCTCCATAGGCGAGCCAGTAGTAGTAGCGTCGACGCCCGAGGTAGGTGTCGCAACAGCAGCAACGGTCTTGAGAAGCTCAGGTGTGGTCGTATAGGTCATAAGATCGCCTCCAAAAGCGAGAGAAGCGCTAGAGAAGGGGAGTTCAGAGACGGAAGATGCGCCTTCGAAAGCGACGCGGTCGGATGCTGGGGCAGATGGCTCTAGAGAGGCGCGGTCGAAAGGAGCGAGAGGGTTGAGGACACTAGAAATGGAATGTCAGTATGTGTGATAGTCCGTGGGGGACAGGAGAGGCTTACCCATCAACAACATGCGCCACCCCATTAAAAAGAATAGTATTAGCATAAACAATCTCCGCGCCATTAACCCACGCCCTCCCATCCTCCAGCACCGTAAACACCAAATCCGTGCCCTGCAGACTCTTCACCGTAACATTACCCAGCGCAGTCGAAAAAATAACATTACTAGGAATGATGTGGTACTTGAGCACCTCCTGCAGCGTCGCCTGGTCCGCGGATTCGAGCACCGAGCCAATGGATTCGAAGGCCGAGTTGGTGGGCACGAAGATGGTGAAGTCGGAAATGTTGAGGCCGGTGGCTTCAGGGCTGGAGAGGCCGAAGTCGATGGCGAGTTGGGCGGCTTCGAGGGCGGCGTTCATGGCGAAGTAGCCGGAGCGGTAGGTGAAGAGTTGGAAGGGCGCGCCGAAGGAGAGGACCGTGTCGATTTTGTGGATTGTTATGCCTTCGCCGAGCATGATGTCCTGCGGGTTTGTGTTAGTACCTTTGTGCAAGGAACGTCGTTTTCGAAGATCAGTATACTTACAGCTTCAGTAACCGTAGAGATGGTTTGTTCTCCAGAGATGACACAAACATCTTCTCCATTCTTGACGAGCTCATTGTAGGCTCCACCCGTAAAGTTGGAGAAAGGCTGGATTTCGTTCACATACGAGCTGTCGAGGAGTGTCTGCGCAAACGTTGGGATATCGGTGATGACGCTAGCCGGATAGACGCCCTTGAAGACGTGGTTGGCGAGCAGGGCGCCGATGGCAATAGTATCGTTCTTGTTCTCAATGGCCTGGCCCTCGGGTACATCGCGTGGTACGGCTGCGAATGCATCGTTTGTAGGAGCGAAAATGGTGATGTTGGAAGCGGCATTGAGCGTGTCTGCAAGGCCATCCACAAGACCAACGAGCTCGAGGAGAGTGCTGAGATCGGGTTGTGAAGCCAGGAGAGCACCAATGTCACCCTGGGCTATGCTGGTTCCTGCCAAGATGGCGTAGGAGAAGACTTGAGATGGACGCATGGTGATCGTTGGAGGATGAGGAGGTGTTGGAGAAGATAATGTTTTGTAGGCCCTGAAGTTGAAGATGCGATGCTGTGATGTCGTCCTCAACCCCAAGGAACAGACTCTCTTATACGTCTTCCCTCCCAATGATCCAGACTACACCCAACCTCTCCACCCACGGGTGCACCCTCATCTCACTCACCGGTTACCCTTTCCTGCGTGCTTACTTCCATGACATCTTCGACTTCCCCAGCCAAGACATGGCAATTCGTATCCGGCAGTGCACGATCAATGCAACCTGTGGCAAATATAGCACCGCCCTGCTCTACCTCAACTGCAAAGACATGTTACTAGGCATCTTGAGGTCGTCGGTCCATGATAGTCTGGATCCAGAAGTGCACGATCAAGGCAGCATGCTCCAAATATAGCATCATCAACCACCTTAGGCATCGTGATGGCTTTACTAGAACACCTGGGCATTCTTGACGTTGAAAGCCAAGCATCTGGTTGATCTGCCAGCCCTATGCCTTCCTTCCCAGTGTACGATGTGGCGAATCAGCAGGGGGGCAGTGCGGGAGCGTGCATGCCGGTATCCACTTGTCGTTCTGCAACAACCGTAGCTAAACACACGATGGGCTTGGGTGGACGGCAGGAACTCGCCAGAAGTCGTGGTTAAAGTACTTGTGGGGGTACCAAAAATAACGTTGTGGCGTCGTGGGTGTCGATTGTCGGTTGCTTGTGCAAGGTGGGAGTCACGATGGGGGGAGAGAGTGAGGGGGGTTGAAGATGTAAGCGAGAGGCTACTAGGTTTCGCTATAGCTCACTGCTCGCCTGATGACGCTAGACTACAAAGAGTAGCATTCTTTGGTGACAGTCGATTCGATCTGCTCTGTTCACAGTACTTGGAAATTACAGCGACCTTAACGGACGTATACACAAGGTATCTGCTGAACAAGAGCGGCACCAGATCACCGCGACACATCGTGAGGCAACGAGCATCAGCGCAGGGCGTTTTTCTCATGCAGGAACGGAGAATCCTCCATACCGTCATTAGCGTACGCGGACGAGACAGCGGACTTTAGCCAGGTTGCCTACTGCGAGATTGCGTGTCAGCTGAATGTGTATTCGAACATCTATGCGCGATGACTACATTATCACCAGTAGAACACTAAATCGCAACCATAGAGAAACATTTCCGTTTGTTTAAAACGTCATCTCATCAAGCATCAGGCGAAAAAACACCGATGGCTGAAAGCCAGAACGTGGCTGATTACGCTTATGCATGCGACATGCGGCAGCAAGCATCCATGGACGTGTGCACCAATCAACAGTAACACGACGGATGAATTGATCGACACCAACGGCCAAAGTTCGCCGTCCCGTTTAACTTCAGAAGACGCTGCAATTGTATAAGATACCCTCGTAGTGCGATTTAGTTAACTAGATTTGCCTCGTACCGCTGCAGAATAGCCGTGTAGTCATTATACCACTGCTCCAACCAACTCGTCGCGTCAAACATACGCGTGGTGAAGCAACTCAGCGTAGGATCCAAGACCTTCATGTACATGACCAGATTGCGCATTTTGAGGCCAAATTCCTCGATGCGGAAGCAACTATTCGGGAGGCACTGCCCGTATGTGTTGGCGGGGTCGGTCGAAGCTACCATGACGGTGACGAGGACGAACAGCGAGTATATGACTGTTGGTGCGAAGCAGAATGATGGAAAATTAACAAGCAGAGCTGGATCCATTTCTGCGGCTGTGTCGAGGACGGCATGGCAGTTCTGGACGAGGGCTTCGAGCGACGTTTTGAGCGGGGCGATGATGATGGTTGGCTTGGGGAAGTCTTTGACGGGTATGCGGCCTGGGATGAAGGGCGCTGCGAAGGAAGCTTTGTTCGTGGGTGTGTGCAGCACGAGCTCGTACAGGTGCACCATGGCTGCGTGCCACCACACTTTGAGCGTCTGAGACGTTGCAAGGCTAGGTGGGATATGAGCGACCCACGCTTCGAGCTTGTTCTTCATGGTCTCGATTACAGCATAGGTGTTGTAATCGTTGCCGTCTACAAATGTAGCAATCTGGCAGAGATATAGTTGATTGGATATCTCCTGGTCCAGTTGCGTAATGCGAACGAGCTGACAGAGTAGCACGTCGGAAGCATCCCCTTGGCTTTCCAGGTACAAGAGACACTCCTCGTGGTAAGCGTTCCAAGGGTATGGATTCGGCCTTCGCGTACTGATTGACGAGCTCGAGAGTGCCATGTAGCAGGCTAGCCAGGTACGTCGTGCCTCCAGCGATCCCGCGTCCTGATGCCGGCAAAAGTAAGCTGGAGGAGTGGGCTGAAGCGAGTTTCCCGCGATGCCCACGTCGATGGCCATGTCTGCGGCTAGCTGCAGGATCTGGTAACAACTGCCCATTAGACCTCTTCGCGGAAGCTTGTTCCAGTATGTGGCTATGAGCAGTGCCTGCACAAGTTCAAGCGATCTTTGTCCTCTGCCTAAAACTTCTTCACCGAGGACATGCATCGATTCGCGAATTATCTCATCGTGCGTCTCTAAATCTAAGCCTTGTGCCTCTTGCGTAGTCGTGTATGCTATGACGGAGAGAAGTAGGATGGGAGCTTTTGTGCGGAGATATTCGAGATCCCCGGATAGGCGTATGACGGGCCATGCCGATCCCGCTTGGTGCGCATAGAGGTTAATAAGATGTTGTTGCTGGATAGGCGGGATGCGCGCATCAAGGAATGACAAGATGGCTTCGTAGTGGTTGTCTGTTAGGCTACCGGGAGACCGGCCTAGCGTGTTGGTGGAGAGTCCGCCAGGGGAGCGACTTGGCGTTGGGCTGTTGTTGCTCTGTTTTTGAAGGAGATTGCTGAGTTCTTGAATTTGCGCCTCCAGCTCCTGGATGCGGTTGCGCTGAAGGCGGGGCGCTGCAGGGACGCATTCCAGGTTGTTGCGGGTGCATCGCTCGCAGCTTGCCGCGTCGGGATTGGTGCTGATGTCGCACTTGATCTTTAGACGATGGCACTCTTCACAAGCGCGAAGACGCTTTCTCATGCTGCCACCTTCTTGCTTAGCCATCATAGAGGTATTTAGCTGTAGTCTATCGTGGGGCTTTGTCTATGACAAAGTGACTTTACGCCCCGGGAAAGCGCGCTTGGTTCATGACTGCAGGTGGCTGTGCCGTATACCAGTACCAATACAGCGTGGCGTTTTGGAGACGGTATTCGTCCGGATGGCCCGTTATGTCAGTTGATTCAGATTTAGTGGAGGTTGGAGCTGGATGAGAGCATTCGAAGCTGTTCCTCGAGAGTTGCACCCTTCGTTGCCATCTTTCGGCATGGTCTTGCCGGTCAGCTGAAATTGCAGAAGGCGGACAAGTTGCCTGATTGGGTCTTGCCAATTCTGCCATGGAGATAGACGGTGTTACTGCATCATCATAGCATTGTCGAAGTTTGCCTGTTAGTATGACCAAAGCAATGGCTCTATGCCAGAATGCACGGCACTGCTACCTAGGTAGTACATACGATCGATCAAGACAGAGAAGTACGCGATACTTGATTGAGCGATAGAATGCGAGTTTCCGTACGTACGGTACCTCTCACGCGATCATCGGAAAGCAGGCCAGGGTATCGGTATCGCTCTCTGAGCACATAAAGGCAAGAACAGACGCGTATATCGAGAAATTCATATCGATGGCTAGCATGCCAAAGTAGCAGACCATCTACAACCCCACGGGCACATCACCTCCCCCACTCCCCCAGACGAAGCTTGCTCGAAACAAGCTTGGCGGCCAAGACCCCGCACGCTTACCCTTCCTCAGCCTATCGCCATCACCACTCTGCCCAACTTTGCGCCGCGGCTGATGCTGGCGCGCCCGCGCAAGGGAGGCGTTGTCGTGCCATGCCATCTCTCTCATCGCACCCTTCCCTAGGTTACCACCGACATCTCCCCATCTCCACCCCATCAATCCCACGATGAAGCCCCCAAAGTCGCTCCTCAGCCGCCTCCCCGGCATACGCTGGACACCCTCCGACATCCCGTCCACCTCCACCTCCCCGTCGACCCCGAAGCCTAAAAGCCGGAACCCGTTTTCGCTCAAAGCGTCGCCGCCAGAGCACGGCATTGTGCGCCCGCGCGCATCCACTATCAGTCTAACATCAGAGCCGGATGTCGATATCGATGCGCGCACGCACGCGCAGGGCCAGAGCGACTTCTTCACGCGGTTGCCGCTTGAGCTGCGGCAATTGGTGTACGAACATGTCATGGGCGCAGAGATTGTGCATCTGACACTGAGCACGAAGAAGAAGCGGTTCGGCCATTTCCTGTGCGACAGCGAGGGAGACGGCGGGAGGGAGTACATGTGTCGCGTGCTGGTGTTTGGGAAGAAGGGCGCGAGGTTGTACCCTGGTGGGCCGACTGTACTGAGGGCTTGCAGGCGCATGTATGTATTCTCCTCCCCTTCTCATGGCAATCACAATGGCATCATGGAGACTGACTGTATTCTGCAATCTAGGTACTCAGAAGCGATCTCGTATCTCTATCGCGCGCACACCTTCTCCCTCCTCCACATCACGCACCTACTCTACCTCCCCGCTTCGATCCCACAACCGCGCCTCAATTCGATTCGCACGCTACACCTCCGCTGGGCTATCCGCGCGCTGCCTTATATGAGTCGCGGTCCCTCGAATCGCGTCGTTTATCGCGACGACACGGCGAATTGGGAGAAAGCGTGGACGATAATAGCGAATATGCAGGGATTGAGACATCTTCGGGTGATTCTGATGGATCCCAGCCCGCAATGGCTGTGGCAGAGCGAGTGGATGGAGCTAGAGGATTTGCTGCTGGATAGTGTGAGGACGGTGACGAGGCCGCGCGACGCTATCGTCGTGCTACCGTATCCAAGTTGTAGGACGGACTGGGATATGGGGGAGAGCACTGTGAGGTTGAGGATATTCGGCCAAGCAACTGATGCTTCGGAGGATGCCAAGTAAGACAGGATCACTTTGCTTTATTGCGAGCGAGATCATTTGAGCGATGTATGATATATTTCATCCTTGTTAGGATCTATATAAGGCTGTGTCGCCTACAACCCCATGCAGTTGGCATAGTAGGTTACTGAGGCCGGCCAATCCGAGAACATACCCAAGATGTGCACATCCTTAGCAAGCACGTCGAGCACGTCGTACATGTCGCCATCATTGTTGGTGCGGTTGGCAACGTACTGGTAGTAATAACCACCACCATCGACCTGCAGCCATCCAGAGCGCTCAAATGACCACGCGATGATGTCCAAGTTGTGTTCCTGGCAAGCAATGGCATACTCGGAAGGCACAATCTTCTTGTCATCATCCAACTTGGTGAGAGCGAACATAGCGGGCGCCATGATCTTAACGCCACGAGCAGCGAGCTCAGGGATGCTGGCAGTGGCATTGGCGTAGCCCTCGGGAGTATCAACGCGCTCGTCGAGATAGACAGCCTGGATTCCGAATTCAGGCTCGTTATCGATCCAGTAGAAGACGTCATCGGGCAGGAAAGACTGCAGCCACACACGGCTCGGATCGATCTCGTACTCGCGGAACTTGTCGACTAGATCTTGAGCATACGCTTCCTGTGTGTATCCATCGAAAGGCATCTCAACCTCGGGGGTCTTCAGCTCGGGCGCGTACTTCAGACCCCAGCTGTCGACCAGGGGAATGTATTCGTCGACCGTCATGAGCTTGGGGCAGTCTTGCGCGTATAAGTCGGAGCGGAAGTAGGGTGTGCCGTCCATGTACTCCTCTACCGTTGTGCCATTGGGGTTGAAGCCATCCATTTTGCCGCAAAGAGTGCCGAACTCTTCCAAAGTGATATCCGAGGTGCAGCACTTGACCGACGCAGCAGTGCCATTGGCGGCGGGCGAGAAGGGGGTCGTGCACTTCTCGGCGAGGGTGGTGTTGAGGATGTTGGTCGTGGTGTGCAAGTCGCATTGGGCGTGGCGGCAGACAAGCTGCTTGTCTTTGGTGAACGCAACATCGCATTCGATCAGGCCAGCACCCATGCGATGCGCAGCCTTGTAACTCTGAAGAGTGTGCTCAGGGAATTGAAGCGGCGCTCCACGATGCGCAAGGACAAAGTCCGAGGTCTTGAACTCTTGCTCCGAGCAGCTCTCCAGCTTCTCCTTCAACGGACTCTCGTCCATGTTGTCGACGAGGTAGTAAGGCCGGACGCCGACTTGGACGTTGAACTTGCTGTGCCCATGGTCATGACCATAGCCGTCTCCACGGGGAGCAACAACAGGTACAGCGGCAGCGGACGCGAGTCCGACGAGGACGGAGGTAGCAATGAAAGAGCGCATCGTGAGCAGATCTCAACCCCGAAGTATCCGGGAACCTGCAAGAGCGAACGGTTCCTGCAGGACAAGCATCCTGGCGGCCATGTCGCTTCTTATCTGCGCCGGGAAAAGGCCAGAGCTGTACAACACCTCGGATAGATCAAAGACGCCGAAGTACAGGACGCCGCACGGCTCGAGGTGTTCGAGCTGAGCTACTCAGCTACTGCACGTGGTGGAGCTACCCTAGCTCGAAGCTCTTGGCTGTGCATGATGGCGGACGGAGAACGAGATGGTTGTGGAAAGCTATACGGGACGAGTTAGCTCGCCAAGCTGCCAAGTCCACGCCGCCTGTCACGTTGATCAACGATGCGATAAGATACGCGCGCCGGCAGAGCGGGCGGAGCAAGACCTGTTCAAGCCGCTCGTGGGAGGTTGGGTGCATGGTTCCTGTGCGTCACCGTCATGTTGTGTCTTGGCTGCGTTTTGCTTCTTAGAGTCTTGTACTCCACCAGGCGGTGACTTTGGCCCATCGTCAATCCGATTGGCCTTTGCGAGGTCGTTGTATCCCCTCGGCTTGAGTTTGAAGAAGCCCCATATGTCTTATGAGCATCCGCAATGCTCCACAGCCACTCCCGAGAAGCTGCCGTTCGTATGATTAAGATCGTCCGAGGGTCATCCCTGGACGCGTCAGGACGCGCTGCTTTCCTGGTCGTCCCTCTCTGGTAGCTGGAAGACGCAGTTGGATTCGCCGGTATCAATCTCAGTGGAGCATCGCCAATTTGGAAGAGTGATGACAAAGTCTCTGGGGGCCGTGATTTTCCTGACAGGCTGCAGAATCTCCTTGCTGTTCTGTTCCCAAAATTCACCATAACAGCCCTGCCAGAGGTCGAGACAGAAGTACAACTTGATGTGCAATTTCTTGAGACCAGTCATCTTACTGAGCCCATCCCACAATCTGTACCACTCAACTCGGTGATGCGCAGGCATCAAGTTGACTTGGAAGTATTGATTGCGATCAAGGTCCCATTCGATGTTAAGATTGCTGATTTGCACGATACGTTGGGGCTGGAAGAAGTAGCAGAGATAGCCTGCTGTTGGAAAGTCTTCCAAGTCCGTGGACATGAAGAACTCGTTGCTTTTGTAGAGATATTCGATACTTTCAGAATAACTAAGAACGGTTCATGTTAGTCTTGTACTGGTACTGCGACTGTACAATTACAATTGTATCTGACTCAACTTACATCTGCCGACACGTTCTTAGAAGAGGGAGTGCCAATTGTAGCTTCTGGCCTGGTGAACAAGGCATGTAGCAAAGGCAATTTCGAAGTGTGCACCTTCGCGTCAATAGTTTTCCGTCCAAAACTGACGCATGTATAGTCTGTTCTCCCAGAGCCATCTCATAGATCATGCGCCGAATCTCCAACGGTAGTTTGCTCAGAAGCGCTGAGCGAGGCTGGGCCAGCGTCTTTTGGTCCTCTTGTAAGTCCCCTGACATGGAGAGTGCGCGTCTGCGAGGTGTCGGCATCGTTGGTAGTACTATCTCGTGTGAAAGATTTCGTCTTCTTCCATGTCGACCAGGGCTCAGAAATACTAGCAAGCAACAGATGCAAGGCGCGCAAACTGTCCACATGAGGCATTTGGATGTTTGCCAGGCCACTGTCCGTAGGCAGTTGCCCGTCTTTCTTCCGGCATTCTCCAGCTTACTCCGGAATCGATTGGGCATTGTTGCGCTGAGGAGGAGTCGTCAACGATGGCGATGGCGACTGCCGTGGCGCACGAGCAGGCGGGTGAATGGCCGCGGAAAGCTCTCTGACATCTGCAACGCCGCGATTGATGAACAGAACGCTCTTCTCATTTGCCGATGCTACTCTAGTGGCGTCTCGGTCGTCGTTGAGACTGGAAGAGAGAGGCTACCGGGAGTGATCGTTGTGACCTGTGGCGCAGTCATGGCCCCACTTAGCGGGCAGCCACGATGACGATGACGTGCTGGGACCACAGGGAGTACGAGACACTGACTTTCTCTTTGCGCGCCGTTCACATACACATCACACATCTTATGGGCTTCGTATTCTTTATGTATGTATGTCGCTTTAAATACGCTGCATTTCTACCAGAAACGATAGGCGCTCCAAGCTTCCAAGGTTGTTGCGCAAATCACCCCAAGTGCGCCTCCGCTTCTATCTCAATCTTCATCGTCTTATACAAAGCAACAACCTGCACCACCGTCATGAGAGGCCCGTGGTTCTTGCATCTTTCCTTCATATTCCGGATGATCGGCTCCGCAATCTTATCAATCGGTACGGTAACGTAGAAGCGCGTTTTGTAGACCTGGTCCCAGCCCTCCCCACCAGCCTGGCGAATGGCACGTTGGACGTTGTCGAAAGCTTGGTCAACCTCCTTCGAAAGTTCTTCTGGATACTCCTCGGTCGTGCAATCCCAGCCGCCTGGATGTAGTCAACATCGGATAGTCTATACACATTGGGCGACGTACCTTGGCCGGATACCTCGATGCGGTTGTCGATGCGGACCGCTTGGCTGTAGTTCAAATCCCGTTTTGATCGCTCACCGAAACCGGGATAGTCGAATTATTGGAGATGCGACATAGTGGTCTTGTCAGAGACCAGACTGGAAATCTTGCGAGCTATATGATGCGAAGTACGATAGGGTCTTTCTATCTGATGCGCGGCTACCTCTTATACTCAGCCTATGTGGCATGATCACTCTAGAACCTCCCTCTCATGACGACAACAGCCGTCGAGCATCACATTGTCGCGAAGGCTCTGCCAAGAGGACATTTGTAAGCTGCGTTTAGGCGTCCTATAGGATTTGTCGTCACAGGCAACCGCAGGCGCAACCCAATGCATGACAAGAGCTTGGCCGATGGATTACGACGGCGTTGGAACACATCCTCGGCTTTTAGAAGCTTAGATACATGGATATAAGGAATGACATCCGTAAGCTTACGCAGCCAGCATATCTTCATGATCCGGCCATTGACTCTCACACCATGGAATTACGGTACTAACATCCCCACGTTCATTCCCAACGGGACTTCCGGCAGAGTTTCTTTGCATCCTGCAACAACAGGTCTCCACCGGGGCAATGCTGGTATCAGTAGGTGCCGGGAATGGCTGTCATCAACGTTCAACAACGTAGCACGTATTCACCATCACGCTTTATTGGGTGACCTGAACACATGATTAGCACGATGGAATCTGCAAATATCACCTTGATGGTACAGTTCTGGCTAGCATAACAGTATCACACGTCAGATTATGATGAATACACTTGCCAACAGGAAGCATCGTTTACCACCATTCATCGAAATCATCATAGTAACCCGGGCCTCGCGGCGGAGAGCCCGACCGAGACCGCCCACCCCAACCGCCTCCGCCGTATTGCTCTCCTCCATATTCTTCAAAATCATCATAGTATCCCGGGCCTCGCGGTGGAAATGGGGACCTTACATTCCGACCGCCTCCGCCCCATCGCGATCCCCCATACGGGCCATACCAAGAGCCTCCGCGCGGTGAGTCTGGATCCAAAGGATATGACATATACGGACCCAAGTATCGCATGTCTGAGGATGTATGGTAAGGAATAGATGAACTTTGGAGACTGCTGCTGCCGGGGCCCCAGGCTGAGTGTGAGCGTGCGTCGTAGGGGCGTCTGGTACCCCAGTCTGCGCCGTGGCCGAGACCGGTGACGTTGAAAGGGTCGTTGTTGTAGAAGGGGTTGTTGCTCATGTTTTCTGGTGTTATTGTTGTAGATGGCTTTTATTATGTGGAGGAAGATGCGTTATGCGAAGCTTGTTAGCAAGAGCACAGGAAGCTTTATAGGGAGATACAGTGAGTATTTGTACTGTTGGCAAGTCTAGTTCTGGTGCTATACACAGACACGTTCACGCTGGCCTTCGTTCACTGAACGTTTGACATACTACCGCTCACATTCCAGTATACCGACGTTTGACGAATACGCGAATACACCGTCCTCCAAGTATACACCCAAACAATGACCTAGGAGTCGACGTTGTCACACCTATACCTCACATGCCTGTTGTGTCCACGTCATATCCGCCGTCACCATCTACGCCGTTTCCTCTTGCTTGAATCTCAGCTCATATCGTAGCCATAATTCTTCCACTTCTAGACGTACCCCCTACTTCTTCGCAGTTCCTCCACCCGGAGTGAAAGACGGAGCCGCGGCGTTCAAGCCCTTTGCAGGTGTAGCAGGCGAATCCTTGTCGTTGTTGGTGTCGTTGTTGGTGTCGTTGTTGGTGTCGTTGTTGGTGTCGTTGTTGTTGGCTGATGGGTTCAATGCTTTTCCCCAGGCAGTCCCATTCTTGGGGTACGCGGTTGGCGCGCCCCAGTCCTTGCCGTGGCCGATACCTGTGACTTTCCGCCAATCTTCGGGGTTTCCAGACATCGCGGTTGTTGTGCGGGTGTTGATTTACTTCTGTTACTGGGTAAGTAGACTGTTTGGTATAGGGTTTATATGGTGTGCGATCGTGGGTATACGTACCTGTGTTCGCGATAGTTATTGTGGGAGAGTGTCTTCCAGTGGTGGCTACGATCAACGAAGAGAGAATGGACGTTGCGAGTAGCTCAAGGAAAGGGTCGGATGTGACTTGATCTCGTGCGCATCACAGTAGTGAAGGGTAGCATTAGACATCGTACATTCACTGCTCGAACGATGCTAGGGCATGTGTGATGAGTGCAGTTCGCAGCCTGATTACATTAGTCTTCTATGTATCACATCCGCCAGCGAACATCTGAATTAAGCAAGCTCGGTCTGTACAACTACACATCTTGATTCTGCTGAATATCGGCTGCCTGTAACAAAGCGCGATGGTCTCCAACGACTTGTCTTCCTTTGTTTCACCCCTCAATTGTATTTCGACCACTCCTGGCTTCCTTATTCTTTGCAGCACGCCCTTCGAATCCCGTATGAGGTTGTCAATTCCCGCAACATACTCAGGCTGGTTCCTTTTCTCAAAAGCCGTCTTGAGCGCGCGCAGGCAATCGAGAGTCTCCACCGGAACGTGATCTTCCCCCTTGTCTGCATCAATTATGCTTAGACAATCGTGAATGTACATCCGCGGCTCAGGCTTTCCTTCTTCTGGTATAATCATCCCATACATCAGAGTGACCAAGTTCCTAGTTAGGGAAGCGTATTCTACACCAAAGGTTTCGCGACGCGGAATGGGCTTCCCTTGGAGCGCAACGCTCTTATTGTGTGCATATGACTTGAGCATGTTCGCAACAAACTGAAGCTCTTTGAGCACATACTCCCGCTTCTCTGCCGCTGATGCATCCTCTGGATATTTCCAGTCCATAGGTATGGCGCCCCCCGGAGTCTTGTTGATACTATTGTAGGTCGAAGTGTCCAGCCAGCTGAATACCATAGTAGGCTGCAGCAAGGCCTTCTCTTCATCAGTTAGAGAGTCGAATGACATTGCCTCCCGTTCAGCTCGAGCAGTCTTCTTCCAAATTCGCTCTGGGAGTAGGGACCTGGGGGGTAAAGATTGGATGAAGTTAGGGTCGTTGTTGAGTTTACGCAATGCCACAGCCTTCTCGTAATGAGATCTTTGTGCAGATCGCTCCTGAAGGTCTGTTCCCGATACCCATAATGTTATATCGGACACAAGGAGCGGAGTCGAGAATCCAGTCGAGAAGGCTCCGAGCCGACCAAGTAGGCGATGTCCAATGGAGAGACTCCGTAAGCTCCTCATTCTGAAAGAAAGGAGCATACCTCCTATTCCACCAATAATATTAGAATCATCCTTCGTAAACCCCTGACTGCTTTGCCATATCTGAGATTTTGGGAGATTGATTCCTTCATAATGAAGGATGCTTCTTCTGATCTGACTTTCCCAGTGCGTCAAGTAAGCTGCCAGAGGCGCAGCAAGAGCAAGAGAATAAAAGCCTGCTCTGGTAACAAAGTACGCAGATTTCGTCGGCAAAGTCAGCAAAGGGCGTCTGATGATCATCCGGCCCAGAAGCAGAGTCGCTGCCGCTGCTGGCGCTAATAAGACCAATGCAGTGGCAGTATTTGCAACATGAGGTTCTTCTGTCTTGGGAATAGCAGGATGTAGACCTTTTCATTAGTGAGAACCTATTTGGTGTGCAAAATTCGATGAAGTCGTCAACTCACCTGCACCCTGAGGCGGGAAAAGACGAACCATTGTCAAGGTTCATCTACGGTCATAGACCTTAAAATGAGGTTTTCGCTGATTTCAGACAAGGTTCCAGCCAGTCTCTAGGACGAGCTGAAGCGAGGGAGCTGGAAGATCATTTTGACGCGTGGAGTTGAGGAGCGATTGGAGATGCGGCGTGGTTGTACAAGTTAACATCCGCATGAGGCTAGATCCCGCGGACATGGCCGCTTACTCATCATCGAATCTTCGCATTCGCTCAACACCAACGAGCTCGTCGCCAGCAGGAAGATAGCCATCCACAGCCATGCCACCACGGCTAAGAGCAGTCCGAGCCGCCTCATCTCTCCTGTTCATATGCTCGAGAGCACCTGCAGCGACATCGGTCGCCCCCCTCCTCGTGCCCGCCCAGCAGAGATGCGCATCCATTCTTTCCTCGCTCTCCGACAACGCAGGCGCCTACAATAAAAAGATCCGACGAGGTCGCGGTCCCGCCTCGGGAAAGGGAAAGACTGGTGGCCGCGGTCAGAAGGGTCAGCATGCACACGGCAAAGTCCCCGCGGGCTTCGAGGGAGGTCAGACACCACAATGGATCACCAACCCCGAGCGAGGGCGGGGGAAGTACAACCCGTTCAAGGTCGAGATGTCACCCATAAACCTGGACCGGATACAGAGCTGGATTGACCAGGGGAGGTTGGACCCGAAGAAGCCCATCACCATGAAGGAGTTGGCCAAGTCGAGGTGTCTGCACGGTGTCAAGAGGCATGGCGTTAAGCTGCTCGCGAGGGTATGAGAAGACCAATCAATGGTGGCTACGCGAATGCTAATTGTGGCCGTAGAATCCAGAGCAATTGACCACACCCATCCACATCGTCGTCTCACGCGCCTCTGCCGACGCTATCGCACGCATTGAAGCCCTCGGCGGCAGCGTGACCACACGCTTCTACTCTCCCACATCCATCAAGCGCGTCCTCCGCGGCGACTCACACCCCACAATCTCTATCCAAGCCTCGCCAGACCTCGTCTCTCTCACTGCTCGCTCCGCAGCCGCCAAGATCCCTTCTCCCATTATCACCGCGCTCCAGACGGCCGCCGAAGAAAAAAAGAAGGAGGCTATGGTTGCTGTCATGAAGCAGATCGGGTCGAAATACAAATACAGGCTGCCTGATGCGACGGCAAGAAAGGACATCGAGTACTACCGCGATCCAGCGCATAGAGGATACTTGAACTACACGATGAAGGATGGCGAGAGCCCGTCTTTGTTCTTCAAGCCGCCAGGCGAGGCAAAGGACAGGAAGAAGCAGAGCGTGAGGAGAGACGCGGCCAAGGCCAGTGCGGACAACAAGCTGTTCTAGAGAGGGGCGTTGGAGCATGTATCATACTGTGTATAACGATCAGTTGGTCCCGCAAATATACCACTACAATACGTGGGCCCACAGTGCTCAGCCATGAATTGACTCATATCCGTCATGAACATAACATCAAGGATGATCTGGACGCCTACCTTGCTGACCAACACGTTGTTTCCCCGCCACATGTGTGTAATTGAGGGGCTGAGCCATCGTGAGAAAGAGGTCGTCATCCGGTGGGAAACCTAAGGCCGTGGCTGTGCAACTCGGCATCAGCTCTTGCGCAGCAACGCCGAATGCAGAGCTAGATAGTCAAACGTTAACACGGACAACAAAGACGTCAGTATCTATGCGCAGATCCAGACCAAGCCCAAGAATCGTGGTGGTGTGTTTGTTAGTGAAGCAAACGTCGCGATCGGTGCCAATGCGATACCCGTTTCAAACATCTACTACTATCGCAGCCATATGAAACATGTCGCACTGTTTTCATGGCACGACTGAGCATCGACTTATTTTGCGACGTGGCTCGAGCATGCTATTTGTGCTGAGACATGGGGGGTTCTTGTTAGATCTGAGAAGATGGTCATGTGGTGGAGACGGTTGTTAGTGCATGAGGTGACGTGAGTAATAGTTGGGAAGTCGCTGATGCATCATCATGTGTGGAAAGTGGTGTGAATGGTTTGGATATATGGGACTATATGTCTGACTAAAGTGGTGCAGCTGTGTTCACGGAAAGATGGATGAGTGAAGCTGACTAGTATTTAGCACAGTGTACATGGATTTGTAGCACGTCCGGATTTTGCTACCTTCCTTCTTGGGCTGTGTTTCCTTCTTCAATATAAGAGTGTTCTATCATTTCGTTACCTGTATCTTTCAAGACGTGGTCCCGAACCAATGAGAAGCATGCGTGAAGATGCTCTGAATCTTACTGCATTAGCATACCAACATCGAATGTATCAGACATGCTTCCAAGATGCACTTTGTTATTACGACACGACCGAATCGACGAGCTTCCTGGCCCAGGCGACGGTCGTTTTCACAGAGCGGAGCCCAATCTCGAACCCATCGGCGACGACAATGCCTGTTATGTTGGAACCCGGGAATCCTGACCAGGTAGCATGCGTGCCGTGATATCTCTGTTTTCGCACCAGGGAGTTGTCGTCCAATGAAGCCATGATTAATAGATGGATGCCGGCAGGGATATAAGCTGTGTGGAGTCCGAACCTGTCAGGCAGTGCAGTCGGGGAAGGTGATCCCTTTGAAAGCATGCCACAACACTAGTAGCTGCAGTGAGAGACGAACGATGGAAGGTGATGATGCACATGAAAAGCCTTCGTTTCGGTGGTCAATCCCCGCGACGTGTCCGTAATCAGCATAGAATCCAGTTGGTCGGCACTCCGCTTGTGCGAGCCGGTGAGACTGTCTGCACGTCTTACGGATCCTTTGGGTTAACGGCTGCGTGCGGCGTTCTTGCCTGCCCCATTTCCCTTTGTCCCTGCACAAGGCTGAGTAGTCACTTTGGGATGCGCAGCGAGAACTCGACAGGTCGATCCGGAGAGCGCGCACTTCTGTGATTGCACATAGTGGCGCAAGCCAAGATGTCCTAATCCGCTCGGTGACATGCACGTGGTGCAGAGCATGTCTCGCGTTGAGGTGAGGAAGCGATGCGTCGCTCTTTCAGAGACAGCTGGACCGTATGTGTTGAGCGATGTACTGCAGCACCTAGACGGGCAAGCGCGGCCTGGGATCCGTTCCGGCAGGTAACGTCCTGTACGCAGAGTTCGTCTGCATTGTCTGAGGGGGTTAGCTGCAATCGGCCCCTCGAACGGCAATCCAGAGTTGCTTCTGAGCACGGAAGGAGGTGTGGAGTGTGTTAGCCGGTTGCCTTTGTTGGTTGTTGCATGATGGTGGCACGATGACTCGCCGCGTGCGTCGAAAGCACCGCCAGATGTCCAAGCTGGAACATCGTTGTGCGAATCGAGCGCTAGGCAGCCGACGAATTGCGAGTCGTTTGCCCTTGAAGGAGTTTCGCCCGGCAATAAAGTAAAGAAGAGCCTGAGCTTGGCGAGCTAGCTTGCCGTATTGTATTTGGAAAAGATAGCGAGGATTTTCCGACCTCGGAAGCATTGTCTTTGGCGCAAATAGATGGAGCCTCCTGCATGATACTTTGGTAGCATGGGGTGTAATAATAAGGTGCAACTTGGTCACACAAAGTTGGTTGGCTGACTTGCGCGTGAGTGGCTTCGCTAATGTGTTGATGAAGCTTGTGGCGTAACGCATACGGGACTTGTTGTCCTTCATGACAGTGTCAGCCGCGGGATAGATGATGATACGGGTCAGCTGTGCATCGGGCAGACTAGTATGGCCTCGTGGATCGGTACCAACGCCCTTGTACATATTCACATTCAATCTCCGGTGGGAAGTAGCAAGTATCGGTACCCCTTGGGTAGAGCCTATCTTCCCGCATTACGTCCTGGCCGGTCAGCATGCTGTAACACTGTCAGACGAGCGGTATTGCAGCCCGAGTGCAAAGTGGTTGCGTCACAATATACCTTGGTAAATGTCGAGAGAATCACGTCTAAGCACAGCAAGGGATCCATCATCCGGGGAGGAGGCCTTGAGGTTGGGTCGCTGGTTGATTACGGCGTGCTCGCTCTAGAGCGTGGGGTTGCGCAGTGCTCATTCGTTGGGAACCGTCTGACCTACTTCTTTCAGCACAAGAGAGCGGGGAACTGGATATGGATCTGAGGACGCCGCAAGCCGTGTCGAAAGGCTAAACTCGACCCACTGGACTCGTGTGGCAAAGAGGTACAAGATCCTGAGTCGGCATAAGACTTGTTGCAGTGTGTGCGTCTATCGCGTTCTGCTTTTGCAGCTGGCCCGCTAAGGCCGGTCGCAGAC